TTAAACATTTTTTTAATATAATTGAACCTTTTGTTAAAAAATAAACTGGCTAAAGTTTCCTCTTCTAGATTAGTAAAAATTTGTCTATTTTTTATATATTCCACTGTGTCCAGGGTTAATTCTGCTCTCGTCAATTTCGGATTCTGTTCTAATTTTTCTTTTAATTTGGCCACGTAACGATTTAAAAGTCCAATAAAAAGTTAATTTATGTGTTGTTTTCAACTACATATTTCATTGGGGTTGGTTGAATAATTATTCAACCAGCCCCGAAAACAATTGGTCTACAAACCCCAGACGCCATTTTTAATTTTGATAGCATGGCTAGCCTAAACACTGCCGTTGACTTGAAAAATAGGATATGAAATATGATAAATGTGCCCTCATTAAATGCTAGGACTAATTGATATGAAAAACATGTCAGTGATCGAAAACAACGCACGACCGCGATGTGACGCTTCAGACAACTGAGCGGGACGCGAAATGTAATGCTTGGTTATGATCAGATGACATAGTTCATACACTGTCGAAGAGTTTTCGGTAGTTAGTCTACCTACCCCTATAGACAACTATCCCCGGTCTCCCCTACATCGCCGCGCCGCAAGATACACCTTTAACCATCTCTTTCGAATTTTCTAAATTAATTGTTCGCGAGCATAGAAGTGACTTCTTTTTATTGATGGCGACTCGACACTGCGCTATCCTTTGCTTCATATCCTTATTACTCCTTCCGTCCTGACTTATCTGTCTTCCTAGATACCTAAAGTCAGCCATTTCTTCTAATTTTTTGTCTCCTATCTTTATATTCGCTTTTTCTCTACTTTTTCTTCCCTTGCATGTTAACATTTTGGGTTTAATTTTATTTATCTTCATACAATACTGTTTTGTCAATACCGCTTCCATTTTATTCAAAGCTATCTCTAACTTCTCCTTGCTAGATGCTAATACTGCTATATCATCTGCAAATCTAAGCATAATAATCTTTTGCCCCTGTATATCCATCCCTACAGTTGTACTGTCTTTAGTGATGTTGATCGCGTCTTCGATATATAGATTAAAAAGTAGCGGTGACAGTGTGCATCCCTGCCTGACTCCCTTCCTAATATTTAGATACTTCTCTACGTTGCATCCCTAGCTCTATAACTGACTGTTGCTCTTTATACAAACTAAGTATCACTATTCCATCTCTATTACTCATCCCTACATTTTTAAGTATATTTAATATCTTGTCCCATTTAACAATATCAAAAGCTTTTTCTAAATCTACAAATCCTATGTACGCGCTCTTTCCTTTTTCTATCGTTTTCTCTGTTGTTACCCCTAAAGCTAGAATTGTAAGCGGACTTTACTAAATTAATGGACAGGTATACAGTTGTTGAGATTTTAAAGCCATAATTCCTGTTCAGGAATTGGTAGAAGGGTAAAGGATTAGTGCGGCTTTGTATGATATTTATCATTTACGGAATTCCCTTAAGTGGTACTTCAACTGCTAACAATCCCTTAAATAAAGTTGGAAACCTGGCTGATGAGCGGATTAAATTAGTAACCCTGGCAATTTATGGTTTGTATAAAGGATACAAATTACGTTAACTTTGATCTCAATTTGAAAACGACGCAGTAACTGAATCCGTGAGGGTGAACAATAATGAAATAATCCCGGAATTCTTCGAAACATTTAATAATGTTTCGAACCACAATGGCAAAAACCGAGCAGTTGTTATGACCTTAGTTAGTTCGTTGTCTGTCTTTTTGTCACATGAAAGTCACACGAAAGTTATAAACCGAAATCGTCACAGGACTGTACTTTTTAGAGGGCTCGACGCAGCAGATGTTAAATTTGGTAAATAAGAATCTACGAGTTGCTTGAGCTTCAATAATATCCCTGAAATATTTCAGGAACTGAATTAGAGATTATTAAATTAAATTTCTAAGGGAATGCAATTTTAACTTTCACACTTAGAACTCAAAATGTCTTCTCTACCAGGAGTCGCCATCTTTCTAGGTGGCGCTACCGTACGACATTAAAGACAACTAATCTATACGTATGCGCACAAGAAAACTGACTATATCTCTCATCATCATAAAGTCGTTAGTCCTAAGACTGGTTGAACACGCACCTCCACTCTTTCTTATCCTGACCTAATCTTCGCATTTCCCTAAAACTAAAACAACCTACATCCTTAACCAGAGAAGAGAGACTAGTATAGAAGTCCAATTCAAATGGAGGACTAAAACGTGAGTAAGAAATTCTAAATAGAACCAGGAGATGGCGTTGCTATGAAAATGAGCGTCTCAACGCTGTATTGAGTCGGAGCAAATTGTGAACGCAGTAATGGCAGGGGTAAATAGTAGAAGTGGTGGGATCACAGAACGCATAAGTCCTTTTCCTTTGCTGTTGTAAGCCAGTTTGTAAAGAAAAAAAAAACGGTTGATTTTCCGAAGCGATAACTACCGGTCGGATGACAGAAGCTTCGAGATTTACCGACATGTTATCCGAAACAAAGTCCGGATTATTAACCCAGCATTGGACTTCTATACTAGTCTCTCTTCTCTGTCCTTAACTATTTGCTAACAGAAATCTAATTTAGGTCTACCTCTACCCCTCCTAACTTGCGTTTCTGCCTCTAATATGTCTTTGACTAGACCTTCATGCCTGGGAAGGTGTCCTACTAACCTATCTCGCCTATTTCTTATTGACTTTCATAAAATCCTTTGTTCTCCTATTCTTTCTAATACTTCTTCATTTCTAGCCTTCTCTATCCACGGTATCCTCATTATTCGCCTGTATGATCACATTTCGAACGCTTCTAACCTTTCCTTTTCTTTATTTCACACCCATGGATTCAGTCACTACATCTCTAGGATATTATAAATAAATAATTAGACCCTCTGTTTGATATTTTCTATCTCGTTGAAGATCGCATAAGTACTGCCTGCTTGCCCCAGCAGTAATTACGAAATTGAATGTTATATTACATTAATAGTAGTGGAATGGTCGAAACGTCTAGAAGAAGATGATTAAGATTCAGAAGTTCAAAGTGACACTACGTAGTCTGGTCGTAAATTCGATCCACACAATATTCTTATTTGGAATTTGTTCTTTTCATACCACTTTTGTCTAATACAAATTAATTCAGTAAAATTAGATTGGGAATGGTTTCTCTTCGTTAGCCTGAAGATACTATAATTTGGTAAATACTTTCCATGTTCTGTATAGATAAGATAAGAAAATCCTCCTACTTTTATAAATTTAATGCGTTCGAAGAGCTTCGTTTTACAACGGCTTACATTAGAAGTTCTGCACCTGTGTTCGTTTGTTCATATGTAATTAATTTGCTTGATGAAACTTAATGTGCAGTACCTAACGTAAATTCAGAGCGGAAAGGAAAGATAACTCTCATTATGGTAATGCCTACATTAGAGGGGAATTCTCCACGTTCTTGGTTCATTAACCTGATGAATACGGTATGTCAAAGTCACCGACAATGGGCCTTACCTAATCAGTGATAACAAAATCTAACCAAAAGTCATCTTAATTCTCGTAATTTATCTTTTAATTTAATTAAAGTATCTAATTCTTGGTTTCTTCATGCTAAAACAGACTCAAGCTTAAATACTTGAACTAATATTCAAAGTTAATTCACATTTCAATTCAATGTTATTAATTTTTTTTATGAAAAGCGGGTTGCATTTCCTGTTCATTTTTAACACGTATTACTGTACTCTAGTATTGTCTGTGGCTAATCCTTATTGCACTTTATTAAATTATTACTTCTTCCTCTGTCATTTTCTAAAGACACCTTAATGTTACTACCGACTTTATATAATGAAAAAACGAGTGAAAACATGCAATATTTCGCTTGCACTGACCTTACTGATGATAATGTCACAATGTTGCGTGTGGCAGTTTCATTTTATCTGTCTGGCTTCTTGTGTCGAAACATTGAAAGGTTTTACACGACTCTTTGAAGTTAATGTTCATAAATTTTATTGCGATAAAATACATAAAAATTCAAAAAATCGAATGCATTTCTAGAAAAGGAAAGGCCAAATTTTCTTGTTTTACAGTCAGTGGCGGCTCGTTCCTAAAATTAGTGGAGGCGCTGCTTCAGAAAATTTTAGATTCTTACTTTAAAACTGTGTTAAATGAAACAAACATCAATCAAAAGCGAAGTAATAAAAAATTGGCTTCCACCAGCACGCCAAGGTCGGAGCTGCGGAAACGACAGCCTTATAGGTCGTATTCAGCTTCCTAAGTGCGCACGCGCACAACATTTAAACACCACTTCATTCGAACTGCTTAGTACACAGTTCCATACCAAGATTTTTACATTACTTTCATAATAACGAACATAGACCGCAATCATTAAAGGGAGGCATCATTTTTTTTTTTTTGACGTGACAACGTCTTATAATTCGATGGAGCCGGCTGCACGCACGAAAAAACATGAGTCATGCGGCCTTACCTTGCTCTGAGGCGTTCCATTTAAAGCTTGAAGTGCAAGCGAGAGCGTGGAACGAGCGACAAAGAGGCACAATCGGCCTCCGCGTTCGGCAGCGTTCGACATCTGTCTCTCTTTTACTTGAGTGAGCGATGCGTCCGCGTGGACAGTTGCTATACAATAATACATTTCCATTTACCTCCTTCTCTATATCCATACAAAATATCTATCAAACAAATAAAATTAAAATTTTCTTTTGAAAAATGAAACCATTCCATCAGTATTTTCTTATGACGTTGTCACGTTCAATTATCGTCAGTAAACCGACTTTACAGACAACCGATTTTTTTTTAATTCAACGCGGTACGTATATGAAAATTGGGCGTTTAGCCATCTTTTCGTATATATAATATAACAATAACGAATCTAATGAGGGTAGTTAAAAGTCTTTGAACGGTGTTACACTTCGTTCAAAATATTTTGCACCCTTGGACGCCATCTGATTAGACAGATAAGACTGTATATTATTTTTTAATTTCGGTTTCATTTTTCATTTTTCAGCTTCAAAATGATCGGAGCAATGCCAGCAGTGGCGGTCCGCCACGAGCGACAAAAGGGCCAAGATAAGAGGCACAAACGTCCAAGTCACATATACATAGGGGGGCACTGGGTTAGGCCCATTAGTCCGAGTGCAACACCCAGCCCAAACGGACCCAATTATCAAGATAATTTTGATGATCGTTTACCAGAATATTACGTATGCGGAAAAGTGAGTGATTATTGTTTTAATTAATTATTTCGGTTTAGAATTGATTTATGTATTTGTTTATTCTGTGCTAGTGATTTATCCCTCCCAAAATATAAAGACCGGAAAATTTTATAGTCACAGTTACGATTTCCTCTTAATTTTTCAGTCAGTATTTTTGAGAAATTAGGAAAAATTAATTATCCCAAATATAATAATTGAATCTCATAATTTCAGAAAAAGTAATACATAAAAGTTATATTTTTGTTTTGAGGGGCAATCAACCAGTGACCTTGAGTGTGATTTCGACCTTGATCTTGAAGCTTTTTGCGACCAGCGTCAGGAAATTTTGGAATCAGTATCACCCTTTTTTAGTAGCTATTCTTCATAAATAATTGAGAATAAATCCATGTCAAGAGTAATTTCGATTACAAAATTTCCTGCTCTTTTTAAAGCCGGGGTCAATAATAAGTATTCCCATTAGAAAAGAGCTTCAAGGTTATGGTTACATTCGAGGTAACCAGTTGATTTTTCCTTTGAGAGCATACAACTTTTGTCCAAAACTTGTTTCAAAATATATGAGATCTGATTAGAGTATTTCATTGTATCTAAATAAATAAATCGACCTGATGTATTCGTAAGCATATCTCATAAGCACTGATGCGAAAACAAAGCCTATTTAGTATGCTTAGTGGTCTGCCAAAACTTTGAAGCAACTATCCGAGGGGTCTGGTCTAATGCCGGAAAATTCTTGAATTACTACAAATAGGCATCAGTGAACACCACTAGTAGAGACTTGCTACATTTTGTGGGAATCAAAAATGTTCGACAAGGTTTATAAGAAACTAAAGAACATAAAGTTCGTAGTAGTCAGTATTCTGGGTTCAGTTGGCTTTGTTGAACAATTTTTGAATTCCACAAAATGTAGGAATATTCTACAGATGGCGTTCACTACGTTGTTTGCATTAGTTTATAAAACGCTGTTTAAAGGCAGCAGCTAGAGTTGGTATGTATCCTATTGCTGTTGTCTATGGCCTGCTAACGAGATCCAATGAGACCAAAATCGCGATCTATGGGTGATAAAATACGGATCTCCATGAACTTACTGTTGTGGAAAATCCTCATTTAGATGACACATTGGGTGTCGAAATGACTGTAATAATAACGAAAATATTATGTAAAATTACATTTTTGAATTCCACAAAATGTAGGAATATTCTACAGATGGCGTTCACTACGTTGTTTGAATTAGTTTATAAAACGCTGTTTCCTATAGGCAGCAGCTACAGTTGGTATGTATCCTATTGCTATTGTCTATGCCGTGCTAACGAGATCCAATGAGACCAAAATCGCGATCTATGGGTGATAAAATACGGATCTCCATGAACATACTGTTGTGGAAAATCCTCATTTAGATGACACATTGGGTGTCGAAATGAGTGTAATAATAACTAAAATATTATGTAAAATTACATTTTTGAATTCCACAAAATGTAGGAATATTCTACAGATGGCGTTCACTACGTTGTTTGCATTAGTTTACAAAACGCTGTTCAGAGGCAGCAGCTAGAGTTGGTAGATATTCTATTCATATTGTCCATGGCGTGCTAACGAGATCCAATGAGACCAAAATCGCGATCTATGTCTGATAAAATACGGATCTCCATGAACTTAATGTTGTGGAAAATCCTCATTTAGATGACACATTGGGTGTCGAAATGAGTGTTTGACTAAAATACTATGTAAAATTAAAAGAAAAATTAAATTAAAAATGTACCTTTAAATTGTAGCTAATATGGCATATGGTAGCTGACTGAAGAAGTCTTGGTCTGCACTTTTACACAAATCACACAAACACCTGAAACAAAAAATTAATATTGAAGTCTAGAACCTGTGAGAAATAGTTAAGGCGTGATTACGTTATTTTTCTTTTTGATAATGTAGATTAAAGCAAATATTGCTAGATAGTAGTGATACTATGTTTTGTGTTTTTTTTTTAACAGAATTTTAATTGAATTGTTTGATTGGATAGCAATCTTCGGCGGCAACCGTGAATGTGAATAACCTCGTTTGAACTTTGCTCTCTAGAAGTTGCCTGCCTGTTTTATGGAGCCGGAAAAGTCTAGTTCGCGAATCAATTAAGAGAATTGCTAGGGGAAAATTGCAATAAAAGCTCCAGGTTAAATTCTGATAACATCTGGAAGCATTTTACCAAAATTATTGCACAACAATTCCAATCGTGTTATTTGATTCCCTGCAGTTTATTGTTTAATATCTAAACATAGGGAATATGAGTTTTCACAACCAATACTTGATGTATTTGGTTATAAAAGTTATGTGGTTAATCTGCCGAAGTAACAAACGGTGGTGAGGTAAATAAAATTCGAAGTTCTATTGGATTTACGTATTGAACATTTCGTATTGATCGTTAAAGCTTCAATAAATGCTTCCTGAATGATAAAGGATTAGTAATGCAAGGGGTTTTGGTACTGTTAGTTGTCAACTTAGGGATCATAGGATTAAGTCGGCAAAAGCTGTGGTTATTGAAAAGAAAGAAACAGAAAATAAAGAGACATTATCTATCCCTTTTTATTTTGAGTATGCACAGTTGATTATCAGCTGTGTCGGCCAATCAAAATCTCCATTAAATAAAGATAGAGGGTTCCACTATTTTTCATCTCATGCATCACCGCCCTTACAGGGATGCATAAGACTTGCCCATTCTAACTATTTTACCTCTATGCTTGTCAAACATAAACAAAAGGGGGTGTTCCCTACTTCACTTACTACGATTCGCACATGCGCTTATCGAACTAAAAATGACAAATGATTGCACCTACGCCCAAATCGATGCGCAATGCTCTACTGCGCAGTGAACTGTCAACCACAATTTAGTGAAATTTACAATCTCCAGGTGTGAATTTCAATACCAAAACTTATCAGAGAGTCAATGCTGCATTGGCATAACTTACCGATGATCCAACAAATACAATAAAATGTATGTAGCCAAAATTGTTTTTATTTTTCTTAAATATCATTTGCTTGTGAACGAACTCAGCGCCATCTAATAGTTAAATAATACGATACGGACAAAAATCGCGTCGTAAATCCGATAGATGGCGAATCCCAAACGCAATACAATTTAAAGCGAATTTTTTAAATATTTCTATTAATAAAACTACTTATATTTTTTCTAAAATTTCGACTATAGTGCGATTGCAATTGTATTGAGAACAAGGATTATAAATTTTTGTTAGGAGTAAGATTTATCGTTTCGTAGCACAAATAGTAGAGCAACAAAAGGATGTAATTTATATTGCGAAATAAATGCCTGACGCTAGACAAGGTCGAGGTTATGTTTGATTAATAAAGATGGGAGTTGTTACGTGCCAACACCTACGTTGAAACGCCATTTTTATTGTCCATACAACGCGCTTCTGTTCAAATTATTATTAGAGAAGCGGAAATACTGGCATTAGAAAGGGGAAAATTCATTTCTAATTCAGCGTATGAAGAATTAAACGAGTTTATAAAATTAAGAGCAGTTTTTAACAAATTAAAACTGAAATTGTGTTGAAGCCAATACAGAAGACCTAAATAATAATAAATGCGTTTATTTACATCCAGAGCATAGTAAACAAGGAAGTGAAAGGATACTTTGGCACATTTCCATGTTTATCGATCATTTCTTTGTTACCAAAACCTTGTAACACTTTCTTCGGTTTCTATTTTTCTTCTAAAATCACTAACTGAAAGGATCGACTGGGAAATTTATTGTCTTGCTTTTATACTGAGATTATACGATAAATTTCAATTTAAATTCTTCAAAGGAAATTGTTTTCATAAAGTGCCAAGTTGTCAAGTATCTCTTACATTTATTGTCTGAAGTGTTTTTAACATAAGGGTTTTAAGTACTAATTATTTCTCTTCGCTTGAAAGAGGTACTGTGACTACAAAGTTTCTCTTAGCTTTTATTAGATTTTTTAAGAAATTTTAAACCGTGGAAATTGAAGAAGGAATATAATAATGAGGCACATGTTTGATTCAAAAGCGTTTGGTGTTATGATTAAAAACAACAGCTTTACAATATTTCAGGAAGTATATGTTCCAGGTGGACCAAATTTGTACTGTAATCAGTTTAGCAAAGCGAAGTCCTCTATAAATTATTGAACTTAATCACTATAAAAAGGAGATTTCTCGCCCTATTCCACATATTCTGTAAAGATATGTTATTACCTTACTTATTTTTATCCTCCTTATCAAACAAACAAGTCGTAAAAATAAATAAAATAAGAGACTCGCCCCAATTACCACTAACACAATTTTACTGAGTTTGACACGAGTCTCGCCAATTACGTTTGAAGTGGGAAAAACACGTGTCCGCTCAGTAAAATTGTGTTACTGGTAAATGTGGTGAGTCTCTTATTTTATTTATTTATTTAAGAAAGTCTCCCTTATTTCTATGTTAAACAAGTCGTATTATAATTCAGGATCCGACGGGACTTGAACCTTGACGCAAATCTTGTACAAACTAGAGTGGGTGGATCGGCTTGCGAGTTTGATGATTTAGGGAGCCGGACCATAGGCTTAACCATAATGGGGGGCTCTTAAAGAGAAACCGGACTAAGACAAGTCCCTGAAAGAGGGTAGCAGCTCTTTTAAGATATCCTAAGTAAAACACATCAAACTTAAATGATATCATCCTCTGGGATAAAGCACTCCGGACGTAAACTAGTCCCCCATTCGGATGTCCGGGCGGAGACTACCTCGGGGGATGTCATCAACAGGTGTAATAGGGATAAGTGCAATATTTCACGAGTCGAAGCGTGGAATGTTAGGACAATGAGGCAAGTATCGAAATTGGAAAATTTTGAATAGGGGACTTTGTGGAAGTCAATAAGAAATAGACAAGACAGGTTAATAGGACACCTTCTGCAGCATGAAGGTCTAGTCAGAGAAATATTAGAGGCAGTAACGGGAGTTAGGAGGGGTAGAGGTAGACCTAGATTAGATTATTGTTCGCA